ATAGTTGGTGTAAGGTGGTATCCAAAGAGTGGGATGCTCACATATAAAAAAAAAATTAAATTTATTACATCTCGAGATCATGGTTAACAAATGACCATTTACGAGTGAAATTATCATTTTTTTTTGTCTATTAGACATTTAGTCGATTATCTTAATTTTTTTTTATTTTGATAAACCATGGGAATTCTAAATTTTTAGTTCATAATCTTCTCAGTACCCGGAGTCAGCCTTTAGATATTTCAATTTAAATAATAACCTTTCGTACCAAAAGAGGTTTGAACATGGGACACAAGGAAACTAGACCAACACATATTTGGTGGTTATCTTAATTATTTGCGGGAATATGTAAACGAAATCATGTCCTAGCGGTAATTCTTCATTTAAACCAACGATATACAAAACCCTATAGTTTTTTCATGAGAAATTTCAAAAAATGCCACTTTTCAAGTGCCACTTTACAAAAATGCCACACTTTTGAAATCTTTACAAAAATGCCACTTTTTCAAAATTATTTTTTCTTTATATCATTTATGTTTGGGTTAATTATGTTCTATTAGGGTTTCGTTATGAGGTTTTAGGGGGTTTTAGGAGTCAAAACATTTTTTAGGGTTTAGAATTTTAAGATATAGGTTTTATAAATCTATAATTAGTGGTATTTTTGCAAATGAGCACCCCTAAATGGTATTCTTGTAAATGTGCATATAAAAAGTGGTATTTTTGTAATTGCCCCTTTTTTCATTTGGATTAATTTTTCAAAACTCTAGGCACAACCTTAGCTCTAGGTTTGGTGCAATGACCAATTCCGTACTTATTGAGTCTCACTCTCTTATGAATCTCATTCTCTTAAAGTAGTTCTGTTTTCTTCTATCGTGTTGTCAATGGATACAACATCATTTTTTGTCTTTTACCAAGACGAAACAAGACTATTATGAAAGTAGTGTCTTTCACATTACACTGATTTCACATTACACCGAGAAGAGCGGGATCCGAATACTGCATTTGAACATTTAGTTTTCTTGGTGTATATATACAATTATACATATGTAGTTCATATCATAAGGAATTAGAATAGCCTTTTATAAACTAAAAAAATGGAAGAATTTC